AGCAAACATGCATTGTGGCTTGTACTCTTTACATGACCAGGAAATACGTGAAGAATGTTGGAATTAGTCACTAATGAGATGAACCTCAAAACTTGGACTCACTTCCCCATGCTGTCTTTGTAGTTGTGTGGTTTAGGCAAGTCACCTAACTTGTCTGAGCTCCAATTTCATTCCTGAAAAATAAAAATTCTATTTGGAGGAGTGGAAACAATGCAATTAGGCTGATTCTTATTCTGTAGCAATTTCTTGGTTTAAAAATACCAACTACTGTCAATATTATTTGGTTTGAACCAATATATGAAATATTTGGCACACATCAGGCACTCAATTTTAGATAACATACCTATTATAATTCTCTTTCAAGCTATTTATTGCTGTTTCACCCATTAGAAAGCCATCTTTATACCAAGTCATCACCTTCATATTTATGTAGTGGCTACATAATCTTCAGTGAAGCAATATTCGAATTCCACTCCCTGGGGTAAGTTATTCTAGAATTGCTGCAAGGCTTTGCTTAAGCAACTCTGTGGCAAAGGAAGTATCTGAGAGGGAATCATTCTTTCTTTTCTTATTTAAGTAAAAACTTCACATTTATTTCTTTGTTCTCTTATAACTAGGTTTTAATATTAATAGATACATTTTTTATAATAGCCAGGACATGGAAGCAACCTAGATGCCCATCAGCAGACCAATGGATGAGGAAGCTGTGGTACATATACACCATGGAATATTACTCAGCCATTAAAAAGAATTCATTTGAATCAGTTCTATTCCATGGCTAATTCATTTCAATGTATGACAAAAACCACTGCAATGTTGTAAAGTAATTATCCTCCAACTAATAAAAATAAATGGAAAAAAAAAAAAGAATGTCATGTATTCTCAACAGTACAAGGAAGTTGGTGCTAACACTGTCCCACTTTGAAAATGAAGAACTGAAATACAGAGTGACTTACTCAAAGTCACAGAGCTAGTTAAGGTCAAACTAGAATCAGACCCTAGGCAATCTCATAATTGAGGTTTGTACATACTTTTGTTTCACACTAGATGTCACATGGTTTAAACAAAGCAGTCCTTCAGTAATGACCAGTTCAGTTCAGTTCAGTCGCTCAGTCGTGTCCAACTCTTTGCAACCCCATGAACTGTAGTACCCCAGGCTTCCCGGTCCATCACCAACTACCGGAGCTTGCTCAAACTCATGCCCATTGAGTCAGTGATTCCATCCAAACATCTCATCTTCTGTCTTCCCCTTCTCCTCCTGCCTTCAGTCTTCCCGAGCATCAGGATCTTTTCCAATGAGTCAGCTCTTCCCATCAGGTGGCCAAAGTATTGGAGCTTCAGCTTCAGCATCAGTCCTTCCAATGAATATTCAGGACTGATTTCCTTTAGGATGGACTGGTTGGATCTCCTTGNTAACTGTTGCTTCCTGACCTGCATACAAGTTTCATAAGAGGCAGGTAAGGTGGTCTGGTATTTCCAACTCTTTAAGAATTTTCACAGTTTGTTGTGATCCACACAGTCAAAGGCTTTGGCATAGTCAATAAAGCAGAAGTAGATGTTTTTCAAGAACTCTCTTGTTTTTTTGATGATGCAGTGGATGTTGGCAATTTGACCTCTGGTTTGTCTGTCTTTTCTAAATCCAGCTTGAACATCTGGAAGTTCATGGTTCATGTACTGTTGAAGCCTGGCTTGGAGAATTTTGAGCATTACTTTACTAGCGTGTGAGATGAGTTCAACTGTGTGGTAGTTTGAACATTCTTTGGCATTGCTTTTCTTTGGGATTGGAATGAAAACTGACCTTTTCTAGTCCTGTGGCCACTGCTGAGTTTTACAAATTTGCTGGCATATTGAGTGCGGCACTTTAACAACACCATCTTTTAGGATTTGAAATAGCTCAACTGGAATTCCATCACCTCCACTAGCTTTGTTTGTGGTGATGCTTCCTAAGGACCACTTGACCACACTTCAGGATGTCTGGCTCTAGGTGAGTGATCACACCATTGCAGTTATCTGGTCATTAAAATTTTTTTTGTATAATTCTATATATTCCTGCCACCTCTTCCTAATATCTTCTGCTTCTGTTAGGGCTGTTTCTGTCCTTTATTGTGCCCATCTTTGCACAAAATGTTCCCTTGGTATGGCTAATTTTCTTGAAGAGATCTCTAGTCTTTCCCATTCTATTGCTTTCCTCTATTTCTTTGCACTGATTAGTGAGGAAGTCTCCTTCCTCTTCTTTGGAACTCTGCATTCAGATGGGTATAATTTTCCTTTTCTCCTTTGCCTTTACCTTTTCTTCTTTTCTCAGCTCTTTGTAAGGCCTCATCAGACAACCATTTTGCCTTTTTGCATTTCTTTTTCTTGGGAATAGTCTTGATCCCTGCCTCCTGTACAAAGTCACAAACCCTTGCCCATAGTTATTCAGGCACTCCATCAGATATAATCCCTTGAATCTATTTTTCACTTCCACTGTATAATCGTAAGGGATTTGATTTAGGTCATACCTGAATGGTCTACTCTCTTCAATTTGTCTGAATTTGGCAAAAAGGAGTTCATGATCCAAGCCATAGTCAGCTCCTTGTCTTGTTTTTGCTGACTGTATAGAGCTTCTCCATCATTGGCTGCAAAGAATATAATCAATCTGATTTCAGTATTGACCATCTGGTGACATCAATATGTAGAGTCATCTCTTGTGTTGTTGGAAGAGGGTGTTTGCTATGACCAGTGTGTTCTCTTGGCAAAACTGTTAGTCTTTGCCCTGCTTCATTTGCCTGCTTCATTTTCTACTCCAAGGTGAAATTTGCTAATTACTCCAGGTATCTCTTGACTTCCTACTTTTGCATTCCAGTCCCCGATGATGAAAAGTACATCTTTTTGGGGTGTTAGTTCTAGAAGGTCTTGTAGGTCCTCATAGAACTGTTCAACTTCAGCTTCTTTGACATTAGTGGTTGGGGCATAGATTGGGTTACCGTGATATTGAATGGTTTGCCTTGGAAATAAACAGAGATCATTCTGTCACTTTTGAGATTGCATCCAAGTACTGCAGTTCGGACTCTTTTGTTGACTATGATGGCTACTCGATTTCTTCTAAGGGATTCTTGCCCACAGTAGTAGATATAATGGTTATCTGAGTTAAATTCCCCCCTTCCAGTCCATTTTAGTTCACTGATTCCTAAAATCTTGATGTTCACTCTTGCCAACTCCTGTTTGATCATTTCCAATTTACCTTGATTCATAAACCTAACATTCCAGGTTCCTATGCAATATTGTTCTCTACAGCATTGGACTTTACTTCCATCACCCATCACATCTACACCTGGGCGTTGTTTTCACTTTGACTCCATCTCTTCATTCTTTCTGGAGTTATTTCTCCACTCTTCTCCCGTAGCATACTGTACACCTACTGACCTGGGAAGTTCATCTTTCAGTGTCATATCTTTTTGCCTTTTCAAACTGTTCATGGGGTTCCAAGGCAAGAATACTGAAGTGGTTTCAGAAATGATAAATAGTATCATATATTATTGGGAATAGGATAGAGATATAGACTCCAAAGAAAACACTCTGATACCATGATGATAGGAAAATCACATGCTCTTTTATTTCTCTGTCTTCATTCCTACCTGGTCCAGGCAATGAAATAACAATCTCCCCACAAATTAGATTTTGCTATTTACAGGATTCTGAGTCATCTCTCTAGAACTCTGGTTTTTGGTCCTTACTGCCAATCAGGCACTACTTGTACTATATTTTATCTTTTCTTTATTTTGGCCAGCTCATGCAGCTTGTAGGATCTTAAGTTCCGTGACCAGGGATTGAACCCACGCCCTGAGTAATGAAAGCATGGGTACTCATTACTGGACCACCAGGGAATTCCCTATATCTTTTAATGTCAACTATCTTACTTTACATGAACCTCTCTCCTTCCTTCTTTCCACCCTTTCCTTTGTTTCTCCCCTTCTTTTTTTTTTTTTTTAAAACACCTTTATTGACCTCCTGCCATATTCTAGCCAGCAAGCTAGAGACTCAGAGCCCAGAAGGAAATACAGGAAAATAAATCAGTTCAATGGAAGACCATAAGTACAACAAAGATATATATGCATGACTCCTAATGCTTTCAAAAGCATCAAAATTTTCTAGTTTTATTACAATATTTTGTGTTTGTATATGTGTGTGTATGTACATGTAGAATGTGGTTGGTTCCTACAGTCATGTCTGCTGACGGCCCTTTAAAGAGGACCAACTATATCTATACCTCAAGAAGCTCATAATCCAAGCCAGAAGAGAAGAAAACAACTATAGCAGGAATTGAGCTAGGTGGTTTATTTGTTCTATAGACATTTGTATAAGTCCATCTCTGTGCAAGCATCCAGAAACCCAGTAGTGAATACAATGAAAGTGATGGTATTTATGGACAAATTATTCTATACCAGTAATTTGTGCTATACTGTGAAGCATGTGTGTGCTCAATCACATTCGACTCTTTGCTACCTGACCCCATGGAGTGTAGCCATTTCCTTCTCCAGGGGATCTCCCTGACTCAGGTTTCAAACTCATATCTCTTGTGTCTCCTGCGTTGGCAAACAGGTTCTTTACCAGCTGAGCCACCAGGAGTTCCTATAGTATGAAGAGCTTGGAGTGATTAAGCATGTTTACATTGCAGTGAATACAGAAAGTCTTCATTTAATCTCTTTGCCTCTGCTTCATGACAAAGTCCATGTACTCATACTCAAATGGAAATCAACACAATGCTGCCTTCATTGAAAAACTATTGCTAATAAAAAAAAAAAAGTAGCAGAAATTCAGAGACTTCCCTTGCAGCTCAGCTGGTTAAGAATCCGCCTGCAATGCTGGAGACCTGGGTTCAATCCCTGAGTTGGGAAGATCCCCTGGAGAGGGAAAGGCTACCCACTCCAGTATTCTGGCCTGGAGAATACCATGGACTGCATAGTCCATGAGGTCACAAAGAGTTGGATACAACTGAGCGCCTTTCACTTTCACTTCACTTTCTAGTGATGAAGGCAATTCACATTCTACACAAGTTTCTGATGTCATCCTGCATATTCTACCAAGGTACTTATCTGGCTGAAGACTAGTAAGAAAGAATTCACAGATGGGCAACCAGTCTTCTGACCTGGTTTGGATTGCATCGCTCTAGAGTACATTCCCTTTTGGGCTTCCCTGGTGCCTCAGATGGTAAAGAATCTGCCTGCAATGCAGAAGATCTAGGAACATCTCCTGGAGAAAGGAACGGCTTCCCACTTTAGTATTCTTGCCTGGAGAATTCCATAGACAGAGGAGACTGGTGGGCTACAGTCCATGGGTTCCCAAAGAGCTGGACACGACTGAATGACTCACTACTACACAGGGTATATTTCCACCTTGTTGAGAATTATCAGGTGTGAACTCAGTGCACATAAGCTATGATTTGAGAATATGCTTAAGGAAAGATGAAATCCTAGTGTTAAAGGCCCCAAAGTATCCCAGTTCAGAGTTCACTTTGGAAGCAACACAGACACAAAAGAGAATTTCAAACAGGCCAGTGTTCCCGTCCTTCAATTATATTCTTTATATCACTCTGGTTAAGACTACATCAGCTCCTTTCTGAGAAGGAATTGGAGTGTGATCAATACTTACTATGTACTCATTAAAGTATCTTCTCAAACATAATGTACATACAAATCTCCTGGGGGCCTTGTTAAGAATTAGATTCTGATTTAGTCAGTCTGGGCAGGCCCTAGCTTCTACAGTTTTAACAAGCTTCCAGACAATTCAAATGCTGCTGGATAGTGGAACACACTGAGTTATGAGGTTAGGTGCATCCAGCATCACAGCAAATTGGGCTCAGTCACTGTCAACATATTCTTCTGAAGATATGAATTAAAGATCCCCTATTATATTCAGAGTTATTTAAAAACATATAAGTAATATGAATAGAATTCACTCATTTTTCTCTTGATACTTATATTTTCACAAGTATTGTTAATTAAAATTTCCAAGCTTATACTGGGTCCCTTTGCATATAGGTGGACTGTGTAGGAATAAAGGACCTGACCATTCCCATAAATTCGCCCAGATAGTTTCACAAAGTACTTGAGTCTAGAGTCCTATGGCTCTTAGGAAGACACAGATAGGTCTAGAGTAAATAAGAAATAGAGAATCTTGCAACTACATGCAATCTGTATAAGAGTGTTTAGCTAGAAACTTAATATAAAATTTATATACCAGTCACTTGTCCACTTCTCATATGGTATACTGATTTTATATTACTATTGGTTTTCTCTGGCCAACCATAGACACAAGGCAAATTTATAAGCGTAATGAAAAAAATGTCAGAGAACTTGTGTTACTGTTTACAAGTTAGAGAAAATACTGCCCAATTCCACTTAGTCACAGAGATGAGCAAGTCAATTTGCCAAGAAAAGAGAAAGTGTTAAAACTATGCCAGAATATAAAGAAACTGCTAACATAGGGCTGCCAATAAAGAGCCCAGGAAATTGGATTAACAGAGAGGAGCTAAGATTTAGCCGGATCATTAATCATGGCAAGTGGGAAATGTTAAGGATGCTTGAGGCTCATGACTCATCCATTCATTCACAGTGCCATGGCAAAGCTTCCAAAATCTTGAGTCTGTCCCTTTTAGTATTGCTCAGTAAAATGGGTTCAGGGAATATGAGCTCAATACTGTACAGGTATACTGTACATCTGTACTGTAGAGATACAGGAAATACAGTGATAGATGACAAAGAGTCCCTGGCCTCAAGTGGTCCACTGCTTACAGATGGATCTTATGGAAAAATAGAGATTAAAATATATAATAAATGCTATTAGTCCCATGTCTAAGTTATACAATCCTTGGACTTAAATGAGATGGTATTGAGATTCTGGTTATAACAAAGCTCTTTATCATGTGAGTCACACTTGATTTTTTTTTTTTCTGTAGCAAAAACAAAATTTCTGCTATCTTCTTCATGACAACCTTTTCATAATTGAGGCTGGCTACCATAATTATACTTAGATACTTCTTCAAACTGAACACTATTTCTTTTTTCAAAGAGTAATAGAAAGACATATAGTTAATTCTTTGCACATTATTTTCCTTATAGAATCAGTAGAATAAAAAAGCTGGATTAAAACACAACATTAAAAAAACTAAGATCTTGGCAACCAGTCCCATCACTTCATTGCAAATAGAAGGGGGGAAAGTGGAATCAGTGACAGATTTTATTTTCTTGGGCTCCAAAATCACTGCGGACGATGACTGCAGCCACGAAATTAAAAGACACTTGCGCCTTGGAAAGAAAGCTATGACAAACCGAAACAGTGTATTAAAAGCAGAGACATCACTTAGCCGACAAAGGTGCATCTAGTCAAAGCTATGGTTTTTCCAGTAGTCACGTATGGAGGTGAGAGCTGGACTTCTTTACAAAAGGCTGAGCACCAAAGAACTGATGTCTTTGAATTGTGGTGCTGAGAGTCCCTTGGACTGCAAGGAAATAAAACCAGTCAATCCTAAAGGAAATTGACCCTGAATATTCATTGGAAGGACTGATGTTGAAGCTCTAGTACTTTGGCCACCTGATGCAAAAAGATGACTCATTGGAAAAGATCCCGATGCTGGAAAAGACTGAAGAAGAAGGGCCAAAGGAAAAAGGAGTGGCAGAGGATGAGATGGTTAGATAGCATCACTGACTCAATGGACATGAATCTGAACAAACTCAGGGAAATAGTGAAAGACAGGACAGCCTAGCGAGCTGCAGTCCATGGGGTCACAAATAGTTGGACATAACTTGGCGACTGAACAACAGATTGTATCAAACACTTATTTCATCTAATAAAAACCCTGGCTTATAGAAGAGGAAGTTGCAAGAAGAAGAAAATGCTGGGGACAATTTCAAACAGCAAATTTCTCTTACCTTTTCCTGAGCAAGCTGATAATTATCTAGGAGACTGCAAAGAGGCCATTTAGGGAATTTTTGCCTTAGGGCAGCGAGATGGGTCAGCAAGGAAAGCAATTTAGATTATTTAAGGATTTTTCAAAATCTGAGTGTTTTCCTGTGAAGTGGGCATGACAGCTGAGTTGGTATCCTGTCTCAGTTCTTTCTTGGCCTCTCCGTCTGAGCTATGCCAGCTTACCATCATTTCTCTTATTAGAGCTTCTCAGGCTCAAAATGGCTGTTAGAGTCCACACCATCTTGGTGGAGTTAGCTTTTGAGCTTGTTTTTGCAGAAACTAATGGACAGTAATGGCTTCACACTCTCTGTGGTAACATTTATAGGCTTAAAAAAATAATTAGATAGATTTAGACCAATTTAACATAGAAAATCAAGTACAGATTCTGGAATGGTACTTTTCTAAATGACTGTATTAGATGACTAAATTTCCTTTTCAAGAAAAAATAATCACATCCATTTCCTCTTTTTCGGTGCTTTTTAAAAATAAAAGGTTAGTCGACACTTTCTACTTCTCTTACAGGTGTTCAGAAAATTGAGTTTCTGGTTCGAGGTAATGGTAAAGGAAAGAAGCCCTCCTAAAAGGTAATTTATGATTATGATTGAAGTAGCTAATAAATTAAAAAATTGAAGTAAATACTGTCAAAAAGTATGACTCAGACCATTAGCCAGCTACTTCACAGAAAGGGCACAACTCCCACAGAACAAACGTAAGTGTTCAATTTACCAGGATAATATAAAATAGCTTCTTGTAGAGGATTAAGTTAAGACAGGGAGAACAAAGAAGAAAAGAAAAGGAGATGATTTATATCAATGCATCTAGCTAGTTTTTTTAAATTTTTATTTTATATTGGGGTATCATTGATTAACAATGTTGTCTTCATTTCAGGTTTAGCAAAGTGATTTAGTTATACATATACAGGTATCTATTCTTTTTCAAATTCTGTTCCCATTTAGGTTATTATACAATATTGCACAGAGTTTCCTGTGCTACACAGCAGGTCCTTTCTGGTTGTCTATTTTAAATATAATGGTACATGTACATGTGTACATGTCAATCCCAAACTCCCAATGTAGCCCTCCGTCTTAACATTTCCCCTTTGGTAACCATAAGTTTGCTTTCTAAGTCTGTGAGTCTGTTTCTCTTTTGTAAGTAAGTTCATTTGTATCATTGTTTTTTTAGATTATACTATAAGCAATATTATATATTCATCTTTCTCTAACTTCTCTAGTATAATAATCTCCAGGTCCATCCATGTTGCTGAAAATGGCATTATTTCATTATTTTCAATGGCTCTAGGTAGATTCTGATTGAGCAGCAAACATTTGCTGAGGACCTGCTACAGAGGATACACCCTAGTGGGGGTTTGTATGCTTCTAGAATGCTTTGCTGACTCAGTGCATGGTCTACGGAATAGCACTGCTTGTATCTTTTGGGATCTTGTGATAAATGTATCTAAATTTGCATTTTAATAAGATTCATAAATCTTATGAATATCATCCGTATGTAAAGTTTTGAGGCATCCACCTCTAATGCAAAAAGTAAATCCACATTTTCTAAAAGTATGTCAGGATGTGCTTAGTTACTTCTGGGAATCATATTTTAACAAGGGACCCAGGAAATTCTTATGATTAGATGAGTCTGATAAACATCGTACTAGATAAATAACTGTACAAAAGCTGATGGGGTAGAGAACAATTGTTTCTCTTCTAATTACTTTCCAATTTACATTTTGTACTTAGATAAATGGGAATATTTATTTAACATATTGACAGTTAAACTTTAATTTTAAATATGTTCCTTGATGCCATGTCAGTCTTTTTTAAATTAAACTTTTATTTTATGTTGAAGGATAGCCTATTAACAATGTTGTGATGGTTTCAGGTGGACAGCAGAGGGACTCAGCCATACATATACATTTATCCATTCTCCCCTCAAACTTTCCTCCCATCCAGGCTGCCACGTAACCATGAGCAGAGTTCCCCGTGCTATGCAGTAGATGTCAGTTATTTTAAACCTTCTCTTTAGCCAAGGAACAATAAGATCAAGTAAATATTTTTCCCACTTAACAAATCTTTTAATTATTTGGGTGCATGAGACAAGTGCTCGGGCCTGGTGCACTGGGAAGACCCAGAGGGATCGGGTGGAGAGGGAGGTGGGAGGGGGCACTGGGATGGGGAATACATGTAAATCCATGGCTAATTCATTTTAATGTATGACAAAAACTAATGTAATGATGTAAAGTAATTAGCCTCCAACTAATAAAAATAAATGGAAAAAAAAATAAATAAAACCTTATTAATCTCAAAAAGTAGGATTTAAAATAGATAACTGTATTTTTAGTCAAAGCATAGTCATCCCACTATAAAATCATACCCAAACATTAATTGTAATGGGAACATCTGTTCATTGGCCTGAATTTTTCTCTTTTTTTGCAAGTACATTAAGGGGGATTTTTGTTTTGTTTTGGCTTAAAACAACACACATTCACTGTCCTATAGTTCTGCAGGTCAGAGTTTGAAGTTGATTTCATGGGGCCAACATCAAGATGTTAGCACGAACCTGCTGTCTGGAGGCTCAAAGAAACACCTGTTTCTTTGCCTTTTCCAGCTTCAAGAGCTTTATAATACTGTTTCCAGGCTTCCTTGGAAGCTCAGTGGTAAAGAATCTGCCTGCCAATGCAGTGGATACAGGTTTGATCCCTGGGTTAGGAAGATGCCCTGGAGAAGGAAATGGCAACCCACTCCAGTATTTTTGCCTGGGAAACCCCATGGACAGAGGAGCCTGGCTGGCTACAGTTCATGGGGTCACAAAGAGTCGAACATGATAGAGACTAAGCAACAACAACAAACTATTTCTAGTAATTAATGGTGAGCACATGAATGTAAAGATGATCAAATATACATTTATAAGATAAAAAATAAACACTATTCAAAACAACTACTTAGGTTTGTTTATTAAGTTGTTTTTCTATAATGACTCAACTAGTTATAACTAGGACTGACAAAAAAAATAAATAGAAGTTACAGGAATGCTAATTAAGGGTTTTCTTCATCCCCAAAGTAGCAGCAGCTAAACATATCTTAACAAACAGGAAGAAACAAAAACATTTTAGGTAATTTACCCAATGATCTCATGATATCCTTTCTTACTGTAAAGGGTTTTAGCATGCCAGATTTTAGCACTGTTAATAAAAAAGCCTCACCTCTCTTGAAATGTAGATAAAATGTAACTGACAGTGTGCCTAGGTTTAAAGACATACAAAATATTGAAAAAACTGACTTCTAAAAATTGGTTTTCAAAAGGAACAGTATCCCTTGGGACAAGAAATAATAACACTGGGTATCTTAAAATAGCATCAGGTATCTTTCAATTTTTATTCTCACCAGAAAATCTGGTGTTTCTAAATCAAAAATTCATAATTTTCCAGCCACATGTGAGTGACCCCAAAGACATTTTGCAATTTTGCTGACCCGTGGGTCAGAGTCCAGCGAGTGAAGACAATAAACATGATAGTAACTGGTCTTGGCAAAACATCCCACAAACCCTTCTCCCAGTCACATGATTCTCTCTCTTCTTATTCAATGATAATAATTTAGATGGTTTTTAGACTGCATGAAGCATGCTGCTTGGCCAATATAGCTGATTTTCTCACAAACTGTGACAGGGCTAGGTTAAATAAAGTAAAATGACCCCAAACCATGTTGAATCTCTGTGATAAATTATGTGAGGATTAAGTTCTTTTTTTAAAAAATGAAATAACAGGAAATCACTTCCCAAGGAGATTGTATTCTGATTGCCTAATTTAAACATCACAGTAGTATTTAGTGTGGTCCTTTAGACTGGTGGCTCAGAGGTTAAAGTGTCTGCCTGCAATGCGGGAGACCTGGGTTCGATCCCTGGATTGGGAAGATCCTCTGGAGAAGGAAATGGCAACCCACTCCAGTATTCTTGCTTGGAGAATCCCATGGATGGAGGAGCCTTGTGGGCTACAGTCCACAGGGTCACAAAGAGTCAGACTCCTGTCTGAGAGACTTAACTAACTAACTTTTAACTTTAGACTTTCTACCTTAAATATCAAATGTGTCCACCAAACTATTTAGGTCAGGGTTGAATGTGGTGAAGTGTCAAGGTCAGACTTGAGGATGGTAGTGATTTGTACACGTTAGAACATTCTGTATCAATTCACAGTCACTGGTGAATATGTGGAGATCCTAGAACTCCACTACTTTGCTCTCAGCTGCTCTACAGATATTTTAACCTTTTCTGTTCCCTTTCCAAGGGCAAGGCACATGCCAAGGAGAAGCAAGAAAAGTAGATTATTTAAAGAAGTTAAAAATAGGACTACTTGCTCTGAAGCAAACCTGCTCTATTACCAGGAAAAATCCCTGCACAGGACTCTACTTTATTTTTACATCAAGCTGTAGTTTACATTTTACATGAAGCCAATGAAAGCAAATATTCAGAAAAATGTAGGCAAATAACTAATTTGAACCATATACAGTTATCTGAGTATACCAATTAGGAGGTGATGGGATTAAAGATTTGAATCATTGCTTTAACTGACTTGAAGAAAAGATACAGTCTGTTACCAAATATCCTTCTAACTTTTTAAATTAAGTAATTTTTAAAATTACTGCATGACTTAAAGGGCATTCATTATCTTTAAGATACAGTTTGAATATCATTTTTTGCAATCATCAACTTTACATTTCTCATAGCAGTTTACTTCCTCAGACTTTAATTTACTGAGTTAACATTTCCTCATTACCAAAAATATTGCATAATTGTCCATGTAATTCCTTTAGGAAGTTAATTGCATAGCATCCTGATCTCAGCTTGGAAAATTAGCTGTCAGGGACACTTAATTTCCTTCATGCCAAGATTTAAATCACTCTCCTTCCAATTTTCCTGTCAAATATGAGGTGTTATATTACATGTGAAAATCAATAATAAATCACTTTTTCAATAAGGAAGCTGTGGTTTCCTGATCATGAATGATTCTAAATTTCACTCCCCTGATTACAGTATCCTCTACATAACACTTATATTTCTATTAGGATGCAATAATATTTTTATGATTGGTAGGACTTTCCATTACTTGATGATGACTAGTAGATCTGAATATAATTCATAGACTAAATTGTTTCTGTATAATAATGTAAGTTTATCTTTGCAATTATACCTGGAAATTATTAATGAAATCTACTTTCACCCAAAGTATACGTAACTTAATTAATACAGAATATATAGGATGATATTCAACTTCCATTTGGTTTTCTAGCATGATTTTTGCTTCTTTTTTTAAACTTGGAGAATAATAGCAATTATTCTCCAATAATGTATTGGTTTCTGCCATACATCAACATGAATTTCATCTCAATTCTTTTCCTCTTGGTAAAAAGAATCAGAAAATGCCAGTGCACACAAACTACAAAGGAGTGATTCACACGGAATCACTTTTGTATGTTTGGGTCATGAAAACACAGTTAATATTTATAGACAGTCCATAAACCCATATGATGTAAATGTGCTCAGTCACTCAGTTGTGTCCAACTCTGCAGCCCCATGGACTGTAGCCCGC